TCCCAGCAATTGAGAGGCAAGGCAAGAAGATTGCCAAGAGTTTGAGGCCATCCTGGACTAAATTGCAATACCCTGTCTCTAAATAAATAAATAAATTATTTTTTAAAAAAATATTATGCTGTCACTGAAGAATAATTAAAGCATTTTTTCCTTTAGCTGATATAAATACTAGCATTTGTCCTGAGTATTAATCCTGGGGAGAAAAAAATCTACAAATTACAACAACATTTCCCTTTTGCAAAGATGTGAATAAAGGATTTGATTTAATTTAACTTAATTTTGATTTTTATTTCAAACACTCTTTACATCTATTCATTAAACAACTCAATTTTGTCCAAATGAGAAGTGGTCCCGCCAACTCCATCTTTGTGTTCTTCAGAAACATGTGTTCTTTTGTTAAGCCAACTGAACCACCTGGTGTTGAATATTTAATGTGAAGAGAATCTCTGGCATCTGGCATTAACTGTTATTCTCTCTGCCTCTGTCTTAGATGGGATCTTTGTATATTTGCATTTAGTCTCTTCACTGACATTTAATGAAGAAAAAGAATATGGGGCAAATTTAGAAAAGAGAATGAGTATAAGTAAACCAACAATGACATGATTAGCAGAGTTTTTGTAGTATTTCATTTTTACATAACATAATTAAATGGAAGGATTTAGTTTTAAAGCTCAAGAGTATTTATTTCAAATTTAGTGTCATAGAGAACATTTCCTTATTTTATAAAGAATGTCACAGGTTGGGCCACTTATCAAATGTGGGTTATAGTCCTCCAAAATAATTTTTTCAGTCTGAGAGTAAGCCGACTCTTAAGTGATGGCTCTTGGAATTTTGACGGAACATATATTAGTAAAGATTTGGGGATGATAAGCAACAAAAAAATGGAAAGTACAACTGCTTGTCTTAACCATCTATGAAAGATAAAGTTGTTAAATTTCATAATTAGGGACTATTGTTACAACAAAAGTAGTTTTTCTACTATAGAATAAATAAAAGTATCCACTATCCCTGAAAATCATAGGAGCTTATTGAATAAATATAATTGAATCAATGATAGTGGAAATTCAAGTGCTTATAATATTTGAAAACCTGAAAGGTCACCATTTCCAGCACAGGTCATTGTTTCCTGTAGAACTGAATCAAAAGAGATAACTATTTATTGACTTATAATGTGCTATGAAATGATGAAACTATGAATACATTTAACAAAGCTTAAAATTATTTGTAGCACAATTCTCTAAATTATTTTTTAATTTGGCATTTTAAATTTTCCAAAAATTAAAATTACCAATTATTAAAATTACTCTTATACAATATTTGGTAAATATTTTTAAATGGGCATGCTACCCATTTACATGACTTTTATGAAGATGAAATGAGGAAATTTGTATGAAAATATGTCAAGCACACTATTTTACACAAAGAAAGTTTTCCCTAAATGATAGCTGTTGCTAGAGATATTTATGAAACTTCCAAAACTTTCCAAGCTCTTATCCAACTTTACCATTGATAATGACCTTATTCCTTTTTACTAGGTCGCCCTTTCCATTGCTGTGCAAGTGTGGTACTTAGGCAATTTTTATACTCATTCAAGATCTGCCTTTGAGCTTTGAACTATCGCTACAAGTTTTATTTCCTAGAGTCATATAGAATATTGGCTTTTGTCTTTCACAATGAAGCAGAACTTAAAGAAAAACCCAGCCTTGGGCAGCCCCCACCCCATCACCACCCTTGTTGTGGTACAGAAAAACTTAGCAACTATGTTCTGCAAACAAAGTTTAGGACAATCTGTTCTCATATGATTCATAAGACAGTGTCTTCTTTCAAGGCAAAGTTACAAAACTGTCCACTCTTGTCCTGTTCTGGTAACTCATTTGCTATGTTCCTAGAAAAACCACCACCTTTGACAAGGTGTATAAAAGCTGGAACTTCTCTTTGTTCACTGCTCAGCCATTTTAATCACAGAGTCCACTGAGCCAATGTATGAACCTTAAAGAAAATCCCCCTGACTCTCATTTGGTCTCTCCTATCTCTTGGAATATTCTGCAATAACATGACAACCCTCTACACATTTCTAAATATCTGTGCCCACCTCCTTCAAATCTTCCAACCCTTGACTGAGATCTTTATTTTTTAAGCCATCCCACGTAAGTTTTTATTTCTTTATTGGGACATGTTCACACTCCATAATGTTTGCATTCATCTCTTAGGGAGTAAAATATCTTGATTATTTTTACTCTCTTTCCCCTCCCCTCCCTCCTCCCTTTTTAGAATGTTGAGCTGTTAAATAATCACATAATATGTACTAGTGTGGCCAGAGCAGAGTTTAGTTGGCCTACCTAGAGATTTGGTATTATGATTACCCTACCCTTATCCAAACTACTATAGTTGGAGCTTAAATTGTAATTTGGCACATTTTTTTAGCAAATGATAGAAACATAACAAGCTTGAGTTAAAAGGAAATTATTACATCCTAGTAGGGGATTGGACCAGAATGCTACTGGGCAAGAGGACTGGAGTGGGGCCACAGGAATAAATGACGGAAAAAAATCCAAAATCAGACAAGAATCTCTTTCCATGTCTCACTTCTGTTCCTCTCTCCACAGAACAGATTATTCCTCTGGTGTCTAAATAGTGGGAGACATGTCTTCCCACAAGTCCAAAACTTTACCTCTTAGATCTAGGCTTCCCAGGAGACCCTGGATTATCATTCTCACTTATAACTTTAAAAAATTATAAAACACATTCTCATTCTATGTCATATATCCACTCCTGGCCCTGTCAACTGTGGCCACAGGACCAGGTCATATTGTGACTTACTTGCTTCTGTTGTAATCACTTGGACAAGCAGAAAGAGCAATGACCAGATAAGGTGAAGTGGACAAACAAGCCTACAAGTATCCTCTGTAGACCACAGTAATTCCACCTTATTCTCTAGATATATTCTAAGACCTCCCAGTGGATGCTTCATACCATGGATAATAACAAAACTTGTAATTTAATGCCTTTTCCATCTTAACTAAGCACTTACATACTATGCCATATCTCCTACAGATTGAGACACAACAGCAAAATTAGGATGAATTTCCTTCTCTTTCTTTGTAATTTTAACAATAGAAGACTTGTTCTTACTCTAGGTCTTAGCAATCTCAGCATCAATATTTTTCTTTATTAATTCAGTAACTTTGATCTTTTCCCTTAAAAGAGGAACTTTATAGCTTCCCTTTGGTATATCCAAATGATAAGTAAGCATTGTTATGCTTGAGCACTTATTCAGTAAAATAGTACAAGCACTGTGACACCATGACATTCTAACTTTATGGGTAGCAAATATATCGTGCATACACTGGACAAAAAAGGATAATTCATGGTCCCGGTAGGATGTATCAGGGCAGTGTGAAATTTCATCACATTACTTAGAGCAACATGCACACTGGAACTTATAAACTATTTATTTCTGGAAGTTTCTAGTCAATATTTTTGAGTTAGGGTTGACCAGTAACTAAAACTGCAGAAAGCAAAATCACAGATTAGGGTGAGTGTACTGTATGTACATTGTTTTAGTTTTCATTTTTTACCAGAAATTAATTGAATCTCCCATGATATTTTTATGTGAACTGCAACGTAGTCTCAGATATTCTTAGTACTTGTCACAGTGGCTACCTGAACTTATGACATCATTTGTAATTAATGAGTTTCAGCACATCTTCACAGCCTATTGAAATTTTGTGTCATAATATTTTTTCCGACATGTACAAGGTGTGATCAAAAATTCAGCAAATGCTTAACTTTTTTTAAAAACCAATTACAATAAAAGGCACACTGCCATTAAACCCCTCAACATACTTCCCCTTGCTTTGAATGCACTTATCATTCTTGGCAATGTGTCCTTTACTGTAAGAAGGGTTTTTTTAATTTAAATATTCAGCATGTCTTTCGATCACCCCTTGTATTACTAAAACTTGTCCAACTGTTGATCTGAGGTCTGGCTTTCATCTTCATGAGTAGATGACAAAATGAACTGGATCACAGGCAGAACCTTCTTTCAATACATTAGAAACTTCTTTTGGGATTGACAGGGGCCCATTAATCAACACCTTTATGAGCACAATCATCCAATTAGCCACGATGACTTAGAAATGTGTTGCTGCCAAAGCACATGGGTCGAAATGTCCCACGGCAATAGAGATAAAAGTTTCGCTATCTGCACATCATGTGAGTGGAAACTATTGGAAGAGCAGTGTGTCCGCAGCACCAAAAGATAAATTGTAAGAATTTTAGTGACCTCCCTTCCACAGGAGGTGACGCCTAAAATACTTTGTGGCATTGTACAGTTAACTCCTTCAACAAGACAATTTTACTCATGAAAACAGAATTCAAAAAGGAGTTATCAGGGCTAGGGATTTAGCCCAATGATACCATGCCTGCCTCAAAAGTGCAGGGTCCTCAGTTTGATCACTGGCACCAGAAAAAAAGGGGGGGAATTTCCAAAAACATTAGTCTTGACAGGAAGGAAAAAAGCTCTGAAGCCCCAAGCATCAGGGGCTGAGCAGGTGACCTTTGTCTGATACCTAGATACTGTCCCACACCTGTACTATCTAAGCTATGTCCACTCTGAGCTCAGACACACACTCTCAGCCTGTCCTCTAAAGCGAAGACTTGCCTGGAGTGCTCTGTTTTCCCAGACTTGGCTGTTGCCATGTTCTTTTCTAGATACTTCTCTCTTTTTAACTGGTGTGTCAATGGAACCTCACTGTGTCACGTGGGGAATGAATAAACTATGCCATCCATAAACTATTACGTTCAGCTCACTTTTTTTTTTTCTGGTACCAGGAATCAAACTCAGGACCTTGTGTTTGCAAGGCAGGCATAGCGCTACTGAGCTAAATCCTCAGCCCTCAACTCACTTTCCAGGCTAAACATTCAGTTTATTCATTTACCCTATCATTTGTTCAACAGGTGTCAGGCAAGCGTTTACTGTGTTTCAAGAACTGCAAATGGTGCCTGCTTCAGCTGCACATATGCTGCATGTGGAACAATACGGAGATTAGCATGGCCCTGCACAAGGATGGCAGACAACTTTGTGAAGTGTTCCACACTTTGGGCATAGTTCTTGGGGGCAGCATTCTACCATGAATGCAGCATGAGTTTTTTTCCCCTATAGTCTTTTTCACCTGAGGGTGTTTGCGTAGATCCCTCACTAGGAAATTTTCATTCACCACTACTCAATTAGCAATTGAAATCTTAGGCTGACTTTACCTATTTAAATCTTCCTGAAAGCTTAACATTGTCATAGTAGTGCTCTGAAAAGAACCTCACCCTATTTTCATTTATCTTCTTCTTCCAGTGGGATTGCTTTCCCCCTTTCTTTCTAACTTTGTCTCTCTCTCTCTCTCTCTCCCTCCCTCC